GAGATAGAGTGGTCGCGTAAAGGAGGCTGCCGCCTAGGGTAGATGGCCCCGGCATGCCTGGCGATCAGAGACCACGCGCGTGTGCATCCCCATCTAGCTATCTATACTACCGGCAACATTGTATCGCCGCTGCGCACGATGCACCCACGGACAAACTTTCTAGCACTCGGCAACCCTGTCCGTCGTTCGCTTACTCATCCCTGCCGGGCTCGGAGCAAAACGCGCGCGAGCACGAGAGATCCTCTCTGCTCTCCATCCGCTGGAGATTTACATCTCTCTTTCTTCTGGTCGCTCTGTCGACTGTTCCTTTTTTAGAATCTTGCCAATGGGACAGTCCGTGACCAATTACATCGGTCGCTCCCCCTCCCCCGTCCGTTGTGTATCAGCCAGCGCGTCCCGCCCGAATCTCGCCAACCTGTTAGCGCGGGGCCGCTGATGTATCGTGGGTAGATCGGTGGTGGTCACAGGGAAACCCGGTGAAGTTTCGAACCGCATAAAGATAGATTCGTTTCGGGTGTCTGAACCAGTACGTAAAGAATCCCAAAATGAAAACTGGAGCGATTCTTTTCGGCCTCTTGTGCTAGTACTTGGGCTACCCTTTGGCTGAATAGGCCGTCGGTAATATCCAAAATATGGATGTACCCTCACGAGCAAACTGCTTTCCGCTAGGGGAAAAAGTGACGTAGGAGAAAAGCTGCCTTCTACCACTTGGTAAATTTATTTCAAGTATTGAAATGTTAAATTGAATATTAATTTGGCCATAAATTTCAGTAATTCCCGATATCCAAGTGGCAGGCAAGCCCCCGTTCTCTACGCCATACTTTTCCCCTAGCGAAGAGCCGAGTTTGCACGTCAAGTGTATACATAGAAATAAAACAATATTGAAATCATTGATTCCGTCCTATTGACAGTACGGCGTGGATCCTGTTTGCTTCGATCAACATCAATTGATTCCGTTGGGCGAATACAATCCGTTAAATGAAATTCACTTGTTGTATGCCATTTGTCAGCGACATGTCGAGATCTAGTTACTTTCATAGAGACGCACGTTGTTCTCGTAATTTTTATCTAGGGATTCTCAACGTAACTGAAAGTTGATGCGCTTTGGTGGGTGGGTGGTGTGGGGGGAAGGATCGCCACGCGCTAACTTCTTCGGTTATACGAGGCAGGCCCGAGCGAAGGCAAAGCAAAGGGAGAGCATTGCCTGCCAACCGGCATAGAAGGTCTGTGACCTCGGCAATGTCTATGCTACGCCGTACTTACGCTGCGCTCTGCCCGCGTGTACCGTTTCCAGAGGTGATGTCACGAGCAAAAAGGTCCTTGAACAAGCCAACAACTTTTCGCCGGAAGGGTGGGGGAGACTCTTTTTTTTTCGGTTACCGTGGTCACGTGACAAAAAATTACTCCATTATCCAGTGCATATATACTGTCATCCCTGACTCTACTCGCCTAGAACCACGGATATTTCCGAGCTATCGAACATTTTAACCATCTAATGGCCGCCGGTGGTAACTTCGAAGTCACACCAGTTTTACCATTATTTTAACCCTTTCGATTTTTATGTCGAGTATACTCGTCAAGAAAAGATTGCATTTTTACTTGGTTATTATGGAACACACTTTAGAATATTTTAGGACAAAGAAAATGAAATACGAAGAAAAAAAATTACTTTGAAACGTTAAGTACGTTTTCGAAAATGAAATAAAAATATTTTTTTTTCACAGTTGACCAGTGTAACTTGAAATTACAATATGGCTGTTCATTCCCAAAGTCTCTCTTGCTCGGTGTGTGACCTTAAAGAGAATAACCTATTTTGAAAACAAAAAAAGAAACTAAAATCTTCAAAATCGAAAATTTAAGTTCCATCAGTTCACTGGCCATTTATGTGATCCTAAAAATATATTCGAAATATTAACCAGCGTTTACGTGTCAGCGAATTTGTACAATCGACAGAACACACACGGACACGGTGTTCTCACTCTTGCTCATTAATCTTCTGCCCGCTGTGTTGCCCAGAGTCTGCTAATGACATTCGAACCGATAAAATCTCAAGCTGTATTTCACTTTCAACCGACTCGAGGAAGTAATCGCGCGCGTCAATTGCGTCTTCCAGTCGGGGTGGGGACAATTTACAGCTGTAATAATTCTGTTGTTACAACGACTTCTTTACACGTGCAGTTGTCACGGCATACAAGAAAACTCTCGGAGTCCTTGAGGGGGCAACTTTCATAGAGCTCTGAGGCCACGGTCCTCCCCTCCCCACCCAACCTCGGCCATACCGCGGTCTAGCTCCCGAAGCGTGTGTGATATCGCGCGTTCTGTTGCCCGATGGGATCACGGGTATCGCTAATTTGTCACTCTAACGTGTTATTACGCTGATTCCTGAACTGAGGCCTAGTTGCTCCAGGGTAGACAAGTTATGGAAATTCGGTACGATGTATGGCGCTCCCGTTCACGAGAACGTTAAGTCGCAGAGGTAAACTTGAACACGGCTGTTGCGAAATTATCGGACAGTGTCCAAGAAATGTCCGATAGGGAGCCTAGAGGTACTGAGAGCAGGTGGGCTATTTCTGTTCCATGACTTTTTTTTTTATTATTTTTTTTTTTAAGAAACTGGAGATCTTGACACAGGAAATGTCTAACATTTTTTTGTCTGTTTATTATTCTCGAACCTTTGTGTTTTTTCTTCATCGAGGAACACGTTTCTTTCTTCTATATATATTGTAAACGCGTGAAAACGAGCGACGATGCTCGCAGGATGCGTAACCTGTTAATCGACCACAGTGTTATCGACCTCTTAAAAGCGTCCACTAGCGCGTCGTCCTTCGCTTTTAACCTCTTTTTTTGTTCTGGCCGAAGTGCATCGACCGAGCTCGTACATTGTCGTGCATCACGGGCTAAAAATGTCGATTAACGTTTAACGCCCTCCGCTCGACTAATTGGTTAAAATAATGGAATCACATGGACATGTTGGAGGGGGTGGGGGAGGGCTGAGCCTTGCTTGTCAGTGCCGAGGAGCCTTCGAACACTCATCGAGGATTGACTGTATTAAGAGATCACTGTAGATAATCTACTAATTAAACAAAACTTAAAATAATCTTAACTTCAGTGTGCAGTAATATGTCCCTGCACCGAAGAATCTAAATCAGAGTACATATACAGACTAGCATGCAATTAGATGTTTTTTTTAACCCTTTAAGGTCTGAATTATTTATTGTTATTTTTTATCGCAATTTTCATTCCAGATACTTGAAAATTGTTCACATATGGTTTTTCGTATTTTCTATTCAAATAGTTCAAAATGGTGTCTCTGAGCTGTTTTATAGCATCTCGGAGGACACCAAACAACTCGTAAACACCTTAGAGTGACTCACGCATTCGTCCGCAGACTTCCGAAACACCAGTTAGGTGTCAAAACTTTTACGCAATTTCTACTCACATATTCTGCGTATCATTACTTTTTATAGCGAACCATTATCTACCAATCGATTGTCATTAATATTTATAAATATTCGCATGCAGCAAGTATTCTGCTTCCGAATGGTTAAATAATACACAGATTCCTGCCATTTCATCCGAAACCAGTAAAAGCACGTGTGGGGGCGGATGAACGCATTAAATGCAAGGACATCGGTTGGGGAGTTTAGGACCACACCACACCGCGTGGGTTGCATCCTCGCGCGTCATCCATGGGGGAGGGGGGGGGGGGGACACACCACCGAGAGGTCCTGTTGCCGGCGGCCCCTGAGAGATATAAACAAAGAAACGCGCGCGCAGCCACCGCTGCGCATCGATTTTCCCCACTCCCCTCGCTCAACGTTCCTTCACGGCGCGACACAGCAGTACACAAGTTGTGTGTGTGTGTGTGCTCTCTTCCTACGTGGTCGATTCCACGGTACGTCGCATCGACCGACGAACCGTGAGATGCCGTCAGAGGATGCCTGAAATATTCAACAAAATCCGCAGCTTGTGGAAGCGACCCCCCTCCCTCCACCCAGCCATTTCTTTGAACCGCGTGTTGCATCATCTTCGAACTGTTATCGAATATAAGAAGGTTTTTCCTCCCCTGGTGATTCTTGTTTTTTTTTTTTTTCGTGAAAGCTGCCCCCTTTTGACCAATCTAATCGTAACATCTGCAGCCCTGATTATCGATCCAATATCACTGGTTTTGAATATTTTTTCTTTTCGTTTTGATTTCAGGCGAACGCTGCGGTGGTGTTCAAATGCACTTGGCCGGGATGCATGGAGATCAAGGCGACGGTCGCGCTGATCGAGGAACACGTGCGCAAATCGCACCTGGGGTAAGTGGTGTGTCCCGTTGAGGACGAGCAACAAGTACGGAACAATTATCGACCGAAGAGACACACTCGTGTGCGCGCGCATTGCCGCTTTATCGTGACCGACGCAGACTGAAATATTCGAAATTTTCGACGTGATTGGCTCTTTCGAGGAATCTTTGTACGCGTTTGGAGGACAATAGAAAGCTGGCTTTCGATGGAAACAAAATATTTACAGTCAGAAGTGAAGAAAAAAAGATTTGTTTCTTTAATTCTTAATTCAAAATATGATGGGAAGTCGTCGAAAAGATTTTGTAAAATCCCTTAAGGTTTAGAAATCTATTTTAGAGCGCAGCCTTTCGGTATCTGTAGATCCGTAAACGTCACTTTTGACAAAACTACACTCAAAAAAATTTGAAAATATGTCGGTTACGAGGGCCATGGAACGGTCGACCTTGAAGAGTCAGCCCAATAAGATTAATATTCGCTGAGTCTCGATGCTGCGGAACATCGAGTTTCCGCGGCGGGATAAATAAAAGCGATTATCACAACGCACAGCTTGCTCCCCCCCCCCTCCCCCTACATTCTTGTTGCTTTTTCTTTTTACCCACCGTGATAACGAGTGTAACCATCTGCGCAATTTCGCTCTCGGGGGCCGACTCAAGAATAAACCGTGTGCATTTCCCGCAGGCCGAAAAAATCGAAGGGTTACGATAACGAGGAGGATGACGACATGTCCGATCACGAGGAGGAGTTCTACTATCAGGAAGTCGCCGTCGATCATATGAGCTCGCCGCCGACGATGTCCCATCGGGACATGGCGAGGCCGCCGCACGAGGATCCCGAGTATCAGAAACAGCTACGCCTCGAGGCTGGCCCGACAGGTGGCGGCAATAACAACAACAACAACAACAACAACAACAACGAGAACAACGTGATGGTGGGAATCAGGGAACGGAACACAACATTCACCATTTCGCAATCACCGGTAGGTGTATACGATGAGTGGTGTAATGTTAGCCTTGGTGTGTATACAGAGTAGTGTCCCACCTAATGTGAGCACCTTCGGTGTCCCACTTGCTTTTGAAGATACAAGCGAAAAATTGTTGACAAATACAAAGCAAGTAAGATACTGAAGGTGCTTATGTTAGGTGGGACATCCTGTATATGTATACTGTCTAATGGTAAAGGAGGAAATAGACTGCGAAACCTGTAGCGTAGCGGGACTTTGCTTTTAAAGGCCTGGTCTCTGAGGGACCGGGGCCTTCGAACTCGGTGTGTGTACACTAGTGGAATGTACTGTTTTTGTGTACGGTTAAACGATATAGTAAAATCGTCTGGTGAGATTTTTCGGATTAAAATGATATCCAACATGGTTATGATCCGTGCTCGTCCAGTAGTGGGGATGACGAACGTGTACTATGCGTGCACTTATCGAGACTTCATTGTATACGGTGTCCCATGAGGACTGAGTACATACTAGTTCCCTTTACATTTTGACCCGTTCATAGCCCAAAATGACGCAACGCTAGTGCTTTGAATTCTTTCAAATTTTAGTAAAGCACGTACAGGTCAAAACCATGTCCCTAACCTCAAAACTGTGTTCTTGACCTCCAAACTTCCACCCAAGCTCGCTTTTGTTCGCAACCCACCTGTTTCACCACTTCGTTATTTTCCTCCGTTGATCCACGTGTGTTCTTACAAATAATCCATAACGATATCTGTTTCACGCAGGGCACGCCGATCAAGCACATAAAGCTGTCGCCCCGGCCGTTCCAGACCTATCAACAGAATATGGGACTGTTGACCGTGTCCACGGGCAAGATGCCGTCGTCGCCGCGACGGATACGGGGCGAAACGAAGAAATGCCGCAAAGTGTACGGTATGGAGCACCGTGACCTATGGTGCACGCAATGCAAATGGAAGAAGGCCTGCAGCCGTTTCGGTGACTAGGCCAAGCGAACGCCGCCCCGTACGTACGTGCGTGGGCGGAGATCGTCGCCGAGCCGACCCCAGAGTTTGCCAATGCTACGTTAACGAAATAGAAAAAACAAAAAAGAACAAGGGAAAGAATCGACAAGCCGAAAACCAAGAGACAGAGAGAGAAAGAGAGAGAGAGAGAGAGAGGGAAAGTTCTCCATCAACTGCCAATTGCCAATATTCTCGATCGTAGCCGTCGTCGTCGTCGTTGTTGTTAATTGTAGAGAGTCGATCGTCGCGACACGACGGCGGCCGAGACCGCGTATTAATCGTCGGACGAAAAAGCGACATCGAAACCCCGTGTGTGTGGCCCCAAAGGACAAACATTACCACCTTGATTGATCAGATCGGTCACACGATCGTCCCGGTACCAGCAGCGAAGAGGAGGTACCCTTTCATTTATCGTGTCCACACACCATCTTCCAGACCGGCCTCTGTTCATCCAACCCACACCCTACCCGTGTGACAAGGACCACACTGAATTCCATTGGCCGTTGTGATATTCGACGTCAGACAACAAACGGATGCTGAACCATCGGAAAAACCGCGCCTCTTCCTGGTTCTTCTCCAATCATCCCCGTGAAACATTTCACTGGCTCGTCACCCTGATTATGGGCTAGATGCTTTGAGGCGGATGCGACAGTTTTTCATGGAGACCACAGACACACACAAACACACACAAACACACACATACACACAACATACACGTCAATCCCATGACGGATGGCGAACGGGGTCAGAAGGGCCGACAACAACTCCTTTTTTGGACGATCGTCGACTCTCAGCTCTCCACCGAATAGAAAAGAATCGTCGAAGAAACGTGTGGACCGGGGGGATAGAGATTCGATCGACGAACAATCATCCTCCCCCCCATCACCCAGGCCCCCATCCCGGATCGCTTGGTGTCCGGCGCCTTGGCAAACTCCGCGTTAGGGTCTTGTCGTTCTTGTCTGTTTTTCTTTGTTCTTTTTTTATTATTCTTTCTTTCTAGCCCGTAAATAAGAGAAGAAGAACGAAGGGATGTTCAGAATCTAGTAGATAGCGAATAATCGGGGGACTGGGGTCACGGGAATGAGGCACCGTTTCTCTTTAGACTGTTGCGCTTTCTTTGTCTCTATCTCTCTAATTCTCTCACTCCGTTAATCTATACGAAACCATAGAGAGGGCGCGGAACAGAAGCCTCGTTCCTGGGCTCCGTCGCCGGGTCGAAAACAAGGAGAAAAATCTTTGACGATTTTCTTTTCTCTTTTGTTTTTTTCTTTTCGTTCGGTTCGGTACGCAACGACGGAGGGAACCACGATGTGCAGCGAGCACGCGGGTCCCCTAGTATAAAACCGTTGACGGTTTCTCGAACCGACACTTTAGGTCATTGCAATAGAGGTCCCCTGCCTTCCTTCGTCCAACGAGAGCGCCACCAACCGGTCGATTTTCTCTCGTTCTCTTGTCAACGGGCCCGATAGAGATGGCGTGAACTGCTCTATTTGTAAATCATGAGTGATTCGATCAAATTCGCTCCCAAATCGCGGTGAATTCTCATCAGTGATACGTGAGATTTTTGTGATCGTTAATGATTGGTGGAGAACACCAATTTATATTAACGAAAGATAAATGCGAGTTACATCGTATAGAGTAAAGGAATAACGCGGAACAATGATGAATAATGAATACAGTGGACTCTCGATATATTGCCGCGTGAGGCACTTACCCTTGATGCATATTTTCCCGCGCACAAATTTGCTCTCCCATCTCCGTTACGTACGCAAACAATGTACACGTGCTGGGGCCGAGGCTACGACGCGGCAGAACTTACGGTACGTTTTCACTTGACGGTAAATCGTGATTTGTACGGTTGTGACACTAAATGTTACAACTTTTGTCGTCATGAAAACTAGATACCGCGTTGTCGTGACATTGAATTACACTGTCAGACAGTGTCACGACAACAAAACCCATGACTTTAACTGTCATGTGAAAACGTACCTTCAGTATGGTGGGGGTTCTCGATATGTTGCCGTTTCCGAGAATTTTACTCTCCTATAGCCTCTGTCGCGGGAAAATATCAAGAGTCTACTGTAAATTAATGATTATAAATTCTAATCAATAATATATGTTGTATAAGTGTAGCAAATCATTCCTTTATAATTTCTTCTTTTTCTACTGATTTTTAAAAACGCAATTAGTAATGTAATTCATTTTTAAACCATATTGTAATAATGTTTTTTTTAAGATCCGTGAATTACGGATACAGTGAGAAAATTCACTGAAGATAAAAAAAAGTCACGCTCATGGTCGTAAATGAAGCTAAATCGCGACCATGATCGTGATATTCTGCGATCACTGTGATAAATTGTTGTTAGTGATTTTGCACGCCATCTCTAGTCCCGGAGTACGTATTTATCGCGGGAAAGCGTCATGGCGAGGGGAAGGGTGGTGGGACGAAGCCCGGAATGCCGCCGCGCACGTTCGAATTCGATGCGACCCGGATGGATACGGTTCTTTCCTCGGCAGAATGCAAAGAGACGGACGGGGGCAAAAGTTGAACGAAATAGGAAATATTTTGCGCGTCGAAAAAGAAAAAAGGGGAGAGGAAAAAAAAGAAACAGAGCTAATTGTGATATTTTTCTCTAAATTTTATCGGATATTAATAAATTGTGGGGCGACTTCGAGGCTGACGGCGAATTAGGAAGCCGGGTGATTTACGGAGCGTGTAATACGAAGAAAATAAAACACAAACATGTGTGGGTAGGGAGGGAGGGAGGGGGGTTGGGGTGTAACGCGCGAGAAAAGGAAGAGGAAGACAAAATTTTATACACCAATTATTATACTGCCAGATAAAAGTAATTCATTGAAGCGACAAGAAAATCGTGATATATATTATGCAAAAAAAAAAAAAGAATGAACGAACGATATTACCGTTCAAGCGGTTCGTAAATGCGCGCACGGACGCCATTTTGTATTTTGCTCTATGCGTCGCGCCGTATGTTAAGAGAGCTTGGGCTCCGGTTAGCCTCTCTCTGTCTTTCTCTCTCTAGATGACTTAAAGTTGCGTCTACACTATATAGCAAAGTTATAAAACTTGTTAGAAGAAGAGAAAGAAAAATGTTATTGGAACATCAATTTTCATGTTATCCATGAAATGTGACGCCATTAGTAATAATGAGATGCGAGATGTTCTACAAACTTGTTACGGACTTGTCCAAAGGGTATAATTTTCTAACAAGTTATAAAAACATGTTGTACACGAAAGTTGTATAACAATTTGTTATATAACACTCCTTTGTTATATAGTGTAAACGCAGCTGAAGACCGTGGTTCGCAAACGAACGAGAGCTGCGTGCACGATGAAAAAAAACTTAGATGACTCGCAGTTGAATCGATCGATCCCAACGTGATGGACAAGAGATCCATCACAATGGATCCTCTACGATCCTTCGAAATTCCGTGCATATACGGCGTAGAACACGTCGATTCGAAGCGCGCGCGTTCTTCGAACTAACACGGTAGGAGGCGCCATCTGCCTGAGCCTATCCCACCCGACACACCAGCCGACATCGCGGCTTCTTTTCTCGCTTTCGATGATCGTCCCGTGCACACACGCCCGATTTTGTAAAGCAAAAAAAAAAAGGAATGGGTGAACGGGGAAACACGACGAGAAAGTAACGGATGATACGGAATGACGTGGAAAAAAATAGAAAAGAAAACTGTTTTGATCTCGATGGACTTTTGCGACAGGTGGACAGCAGCGCTGAACCATCTTGGTTCGCGCGGCGCCATCGTGTCGTCAAATTTAAACGATTCTTTATTATTAATTAATTAATTGTTTACTATTATTATCGTTAGAATTATTATCATTCGTTTTACTTTAACCGTTTAAGTGTCACGCGACGGGACGCCAACGGACGTAACGAAAAATTCGAAAGGGTATGTCAAAGACTATACGTATATATCCGTAAGACTATATATATTTATTTATTTATATATAAATAATCCCTCTCTCTCTCTCGTATAATTGTTCAATTAATCTCTTATGTCGAGTAATGTTTAACCGTAACTAAGAACCGAGATTACGAGATTCGCTTGGAGGACAACGGTGGGAAATCAATTAATACACATACTGTGGGGTGGGGGGTGGGAAGAAGGGTACAGTTAAAAACAGGGACCTCTTGCACAATTGAATTAATATTATTGGTGAAACTTTTAAAAGTCACAGGCTGAAAATTACCAATACTGATACTTTCTGTTGCACGATGGTAATCAATTTCTTAATAAAACTATCAGAGTTCTATAAGAAAATGATACAAATTACAAATCGCCTTATTGTTCTGTTTTACGATTTGAGGTTAATTATTTATTTTACTAAAAAATGAGGTAAGCGTGAAAATTAACACGAACTATTATAATTGCGTGTGCTACATGAAAATCAAAGGCATAAAAACATATTATTCGAACAATTAAGCAATAAATAATGACTACAGAAAATTATCAGTCACGACTAAAACATGTAAAATCAAAGGAATCAATGAAAGTTCACTAATCAATCGGTCAAAAATATTGACCCGTAAACAAAATTATCAACGTTCCAAGGACCTGTGAAAATTATCAAATCACAATCGTTTTGCAGACGAACCCTTTAAAATGTACTAGTAATATTAGTGATTTAATTTGTAACACGGTATAAATTCAGTCAATATCATTAGTAGGTAAATTATTGTGCAAGGGGGACCCAGGAAGCGAAATTCTCCACGTGACCAAACAATTCAGACCGATATCCGGTATTTCCATTGGTTACCCGCCGATGGTACGTACACGTTCCACGCGATATTCAGTTCTTCACCGACCAGCCGAAGTGCTTCTCCCAGTCGTGTTGCTTCGAATTGATCCGAACCAATCCTAATCGGAATTCTGTTGTCAATCGTTACCGGAAAAGAACAATGGGTCAGGAATTACGTGAAAATCCAGAATCTAGAGGGGACTAATAAAATTTTTTTTTTTTTTTTTTAATTTCTTACGTTGTCCACGTACTTAGAAAGCGAGTATTCTTTGCTGCTTGCTACTCCAATCGGTCGGTTGGCACAATGCTACACGGTGCAACGGTGATAAAATTCCAACGAATCGTACTGAAAACAAGATTAGTATATTAATAACGAAAACCCTCACTGTACACTCGATCGAACGCAAGAACTATAGTTCAACCCGGAAACGTACTGGACTATCAAATGTCCTCGTCGAACATATTGTTGCAATAGGGATTTACGATCCAAGGTCACAATGTGTTTACGGTCCTCGGGTCTATTTCGACACAATCACGTTTTTTGGTTTTGTTGTTCCTTTAATAACTACTACGACGTTACATGCTTTTTCGATTCAATCACTTGGGTACATAACCTAAGATACGTCGGTTTTGGTATAATATGGAACTACTTTTTTCTTTCTTTCCAATTCTTTTCTTTCTAACCTACTTTACATAAAACAAACATTACTGCATATACTTTCTGCGATCATCGACGTGGACATTCGATGGAGGGAACGATTCGTTGAGAACCATCCGCGATGCACATTCTTCTTTCGATCGATATAAAAGAGACAGATAAAAAATAGGAGAGAAACCGGAAAACGTGGAGGAAGGAGAGGAGATGGTCGCGCGCGAACGAGCGTGTATAGAGAATAGAAAGTAATTGCCGTCCAAATAGGTTCCTTCTTGTAGGTCAAAATTGTCATCCGATATGCATATATGTGGTTTCAATGAGCGTGCCAGTTGTAATCGGCTGGCGGAACTTTTCGAAAGAAAAAAAAAATGAATCATCCCGGAACGCCGAACAACGCTACCCACCAAAAAAGAAATTCTTGTGCGCTACGCGAATATGGATCGTTGGATCTCGGTTGTGACGACGGCTGAATCCTCTGGGATCACGAGGACAGCCGGAATGATCATGATCAAATTGAACAGGGACCGACAAAAGATGATCGGTTCTGAGAGATCTATTTGTAT